CGCCTTATTACTAGGAACAAGAAGCTACTAGGGGCTCCTGGCCTTACCACTAGGAACAAGAAGCTACTAGGCTCTCCTGGCCTTACTGCTAGGAACAAGAAACTACTAGGGGCTCCTGGCCTTACCACTAGCAACAAGAAGCTACTAGGCTCCTGGCCTTACTGGGTCTTACTACTAGGAACAAGAAGCTACTAGGGGCTCCTGGCCTTATCACGAGGAACAAGAAGCTACTAGGGGCTCCTGGCCTTACTACTAGGAACAAAAGCCAATTGAGGGCTCCTGGCCTTTACTAATAGGAGCAAGAAGCTTTTAGGGTCTCCTGGCCATACTGCTAGGAACAAGAAGGTAGTAGGGGCTCCTGGCCTTACTACTAGGAACAAGAAGCTACTAGGGGCTCCTGGCCTTACCACTAGGAACAAGAAGCTACTAGGGGCTCCTGGCCATACTGCTAGGAGCAAGGACGCTACTAGGGGCTCCTGGCCATACTACTAGGAGCAAGGACGCTACTAGGGGCTCCTGGCCTTACTACTAGGAACAAGAAGCTACCTGGCCATAAGAAGCTACTAGAGGCTCCTGGCCATACTACTAGGAACAAGAAGCTACTAGGGGCTCCTGGCCATACTACTAGGAACAAGGACGCTACTAGGAACAACAAGCATGCTGAACCCCGCATACTCCGTCAGATGGTCCTTCATGGCGTGCGCCATCTGGGAATTTGATCCCATCGCCTGCAGCACCAGAGCTACAGCACATTGAGGACGGTCGGTTGCTTGGTGTTTTCATAGCTTTGGCCTCGCCATCCATTCCAGCTGAGAACATTGAAATCCTTTGTTTTTCATTTCCAACTGCGCGAGTCTTCTCGCGTGAGGATGGCGGAGGCCGTGCACTGAAAATCCAGTGGCCCACGGTCGTACATGCCACCGCCTATGTGGTGGAGCTGTGGGAGGAGAACTCCCAAATGCCGGAACGCTTCCACAGCTGCCAAGCAGCAAAGAATGGGCGGGATGGCAAAGTGCAACTCCAAAACATGAGGATGAATGAGACTGCATGGTTCATAAGAGGCTGCAGATATATGGCAGGTGTTTTCTCAGACAGCCCTTTCGCATCCTTTTGGTCGTTTTGCTGCGCCTTGCTTTATCGTCAGACGATGCTTTGTGTGACCTCTTCCCCTGATTTTTCTAGAGCAAGTGCTGGTATGACTTACAACCCCCCTCCAGGTTTCTTTAGCGCAAGCCGATGCAAAACCAGCCGTGCCAAGCACGAGGTCACAGTGAGGACGAGGACATGTTAAAGCGGAAATGTCCAAGACCCGCTTCTAGTAGACGCTCCTCCATTTGAATGCCTTGCTTGATGTACCCTATAAACAGCATGCAGCCTCACAAGAGACATGTTGCTTGGCGAGATGCTGCTAGGCTACACCACAGCACCAAATCAAATATGTTTCTACCTTGACACAATGAGGAGAACATCACTTTGTGCATCTAGATGCTTCCGTTTGGCAATGTGGATCAAGCTCTCACAAGGATTGTTGCTGGTTTGTGTCGAGTTCATCCTAAGGAACTGTCCCAGAGAACTTGAGGGAGGTTTTGGTGGAATTGCGGGCGGCTTGGTCGCACTTGGCGGAGGTGTTTTGTGCTGCGTGCACTGGGCCACTGGGGCTCTATATATTTTCCTTTGCATACACACCACTTTAGGCCAACAATCAACGCAGGATTTCCTTCAGCGAAACATGCGCTCAGGTGGGGAACTTGCAGCCTGCTGGCAGCTACAGTGCTTGTGTGCGGGCTGTCGCTCCATGCGGCTGTGAGTCACAACCGTCGCCATGGACTGCGGCCCCAGTTTGGTATCCCAGCTGTGGCTATTTGCCACCAGCAGGCGAGTCGTCGTCAAGCGTTGCATGAGAACCATGTCACTATGTTGATGTAACCTTACGCTGGCAGTGGCAGTGCGAACGCAAAGTAGCCGCTTTTTCATGGCAGTGCCCTGGCGAACGCGGATTCCACGGTGGAAAATCCCCAGAGCGTTTGACTGAAGGATAAGAGGTGTATTTCCTGCCTTCATCTCTTCACCGCTTTAAAGGCTGGGGGCAACCTCCACCAGGACCACTGCGACTTGGCAAACGAAACTCAAGTTCGTTTGAGATTCTTGGCACTTCCTTCGCAAAGAGCAAGGAGTGTTGGAGAGAAAGAGTTGAACCTGAAACCTGTTCGGTTTGACCGTCCACATTGTGGGAGAGGAAGCCGGACTTTGGTGTCCCAAACGTGCCTAACGCTTCCAACGAGGCTGCACAACGGCGCAGCCCATGCGTCCCCGCTGCCGTCGGCGCTGGGCGCGGGCCCCTCACCCCTCCTGTCGACCAATCCCTTGACAGCACCGACCATACCACCCGTGGAGCTGCCTGATGATCGTGAGGCTGCGACGGGCCAGGGGATAGAAGTTGGATGGATCAAGTTGGCGACGTTGAGAGTGTTTGCTGGGGCATTCAATGTGTTTTCACTCCGAACATTTGGTGGGTGCATGCCCAGACCCAAAGCGTGGGTGGTGTATGTGGGTGCTTTTGACACCTTTCCCGCTTCTCCCGCCTCTCCCTAAACAAAGTCGTTCAGAGTTTGCTTCGTTGGTGAAGCATGGCAGGCCTTGCAAGACCGTGCAGTGGAGGCAGCTGCACTGGTGCTAGATTGAGGCGATTGAATAATTCTCTTCCGACTGCTGTGCTTTGATCAGTTTGGTTGCACTGAAACTTGTTTCTGTCTGATTTTCTTTCATTTCTTCTGTTGGATCGAGCACGTATCATTCCAGAAGTTTGGGTTGCATCGAACTGCCAGGTTCATAAAATGGCAACTTCAACTTCTGAATGCTTCTGAGGTGCGAAAGTGGCCCGAACGATTCGTAGTGGAGTTGCACGCTGAATTGTGGGGCCTGCAATGGCACAGGCCCTCGAAATACTCAATTTGTTTGGCTTGGTCACGCTTACGATCTTTGGGCCAGGGTGTTTGTCTGCCATGACGCATTTCGGGTATATAGTAGCAATTTGAACCACACTTGGCACTTACATAATTAGACACATATTAGACAGTGTATGACAATATCATACATTTATTTTCAGACACTGGTCCTTTTTAGTTGGAAAGGGGCATTGGCTCGACATTCCCCAGAGTTTGCTCGTGTGGCCCGACCAAGCGAACCACCTTTGGCTGCGCAGCCTGAGGGTCGGGAGCTTGGGATGCTATCCTTTCCAAAGTAAAGCTGAAAAAAAAGGAGAGAGATAAGACGACAGAGACACGACCGACGGGACTACATGAGATGACGTGGACCCAGATTCATGCAATGATGCATTCATTTAGGCGACATCGTGAGGGATGTGAACAGCTGCCAGGTCTCCGTGCGAATGATGGAAGCACAACCTCGCAAGCCTGGCTAAGCTGCCAGCGTGTTACCTTGGGCAGACTCCATCGCAAGCACCCAAGCTCGCATGCCGGCTGCTAACTTGCCGGCTTACTTCAAAAGCAGTGCAAGTGTGTGGACATCATTCGAGAGCAAAGTGGCTTACTGTCAGTTCAATCTCGATCACCCCCATGCCTCTAGGCCCAAGATTTGTTGTCAATTGAACTTGTTTGTAGTTGGCATGTTGTCAAGGGTGGACTTCAAGCGTGCTGCCGAAAATAGAGGAGTGCGCCTACCCTTGCTTCAACTTGCAGGTGACTCGACTCAGCATGGAGCCGCACGCCCAACCTGCAGCGGTTGTGCTTGTCAAAGGAGGAACGATGCTTAGAGCCGCCAGGGCTCAAATCGATTGTTGCCATGTGGGTGCTGCTAGCTGTCCTGGTTGGTGCCAACGCTGAGCCCAACCCTCCGGTGTGGCCACAGAGCGTGCAGGAAACTTGGCTGCATAGCATTGTTGTGCTCCAAGCTACGGCACCGCTACAGGCAAATGGCGTTTTTTTATCCCAAAAGCTTTTCCAAGGTCTTTGGTCCAGAAGATGCGACGTCCACCATCGAAGCAGCTGTAAATGCAGCGTATGCATTGAATGGTGGACAACCAGACCATGGACAGTTCTCCTCCCACAGGTGTGAAGAAGCGACAGTGACCAACAGTGCCAGAGCAGGTGGTAAGTTGCTACAGACATAACGTGTGTGATTCTAGCCTGTGTTAGCAACCATGTAAAACATCCAGGTTGTGAAAGCAAACCATGGCCCTTGAGCCCTTGTTGTACGAACAAGCGGATCTGGCCAAGATTCAAACTGGTAGCAGAGCCGGTTCCGGAGAGTTGTTTTCCCATTGCCGGACTCTCACAGCGGCTCACGGATGGTGACCTTTGGAGCTGGGTCGAATATCGTGTGACTGGAGCAATGTCCCTTGCAGGATTGCGTTTCAGATCGGCTACCCACTGCGCAGCCATGCGCAGCCCCACTGGAGACGAAGAGTGGGCCATATTTTCATGAGATTTCGTCATCAGTGAAAGACGCGGAAGACATGGACAGTTCGACCGCCCCTGCGGCCGGAGGAGATGATCTTGGCCGCGCAGGACCTTGGTGTTGCTTCGTCACTGGCCAGCAGGCACCTGGACCACATAGCAGGGAGACCGGCGTTTGTCACAAGCTGTATCTCTTGGAGACGTCCTTGGTGGTGACAAGTGAGAACTCGACTCACCATCATCATCAGTGATGCCATCAGCGGAGACAGGGATTCAGTTGTCAGGAACAGATCATGCGCAGCCGTGTTGTCGGAGCACCATTGGAAGATCCATCTCCGATTCCCGTGCGCCGACTTGTCTTGCAAGTTGTCTATGCTGGATCTGGCTCAACGTCTTGCATCGTTGAAGGCCAAATTGAAATGTCTTCGTTACGGGGGCTTGGGACTCGGAAGTCGCTCGCGTGTATCCCGTGCCAAGAAGTGTGGTACAGGTTTGCACTGAGTGACGCCGCTGCAAATGACAGAGGCTCGGAGGGCGAGAGCTACAACGTTGTTGGGACTAAGTCAACCCGGGATGATGATGAGCCAGGGGACACTGCATTTCGCACAACACCACAATCTTTTCCAGCAACAACCATCTAAAGCATCCAGGTTGCGAACGCTCGGGCTTTGCTCAAGCCAGAGCCCTTGGAACTTTTGTGGTGCGAAAAAGCAAACAGACCTGCCCACCCACATCGACCAGGTATTGGACTACAATAGCGGCCTTAGCTTGTTTAGTTGGACTGTTCTTACTGCCGTGCGGATTGGAATGCAGTTTTAGGAGACAGTAGCAGTAGCATTGTTTTCATGAGAGCTTGCAGGAGGCCCACTTGTCAAGAACATGAACTTGTGACCAATTATATAACTCACGTGTGACGATTGGCTGGAGTCTGGGTCGCTTTTCCTGCTTGTGTTCCTGTGTAATCTTCATTCCGCGGTTGCCATGTCTGATCTGCCTACCACTCCACTGAAAAGATCGTGGCAGCAGATGATGGCGAGAAGTTGCGGAGAGTAGCAAGTTTGATGCAGAACTACACAATGTGCAGTGTGCACAAGGCTGGCAAGAAGGGCGGATGCTCCCAGAAACATTTGCAACCGCAGGATGCTCCAGAAGAGACATTGGCATGCAAAGTTGGTGACGACTTCCTCAAAAAGATCCGAGCTAAGAAATCACAAGTAGCAAAAGAATAAGGCGCCCTCGATGCAGCAGAGCCACCTTCAAAGAAACCGAAAACAAACACCGCTCCTACATCCTCTGTAGCACAGGCTGGAGACAGCGGGGGCGAGCACAGCAGTTGGAACATGACCTTGGCACAGAAGAAGGATGTTGCAGATATATCACTTTCTGCTTGGACAAAAAAGACAGGACACATTTTCGACCTTTGGCGGTGCACTTTGTAGCCACTCTGAGGCAGAAGATGTCCAAACAGAATCCGCTTCGGGCGATCTTTGGCAAGCAAGTGATTGGACCGAAGGTTTTTGCCTCTAAGGCAGGCAGGAGTAGCTGGTTTGCTGCACTGAAGGCCAACCGCAAGCACCGGCTCGCCAAAGTCAAGGGTTGAAAAGGAATGTTTTTCTTGGATGTATGCGCAGCAGGGAGAGGAACTTTAAAAATTCACCATGAACACATGTACACCCTGGAAACACACACAAACAACATCGCAAACTACATGTAGAGTTGATGTGACCATGATGTGAGGGGGTCGCACCGCTTGAACCGCAGAGGAAATCGTGCTCCCAGCAAAAAGTTGATGTGACATAGTGCCTCCACTGTACGGGCAGGGGGGTCCAAAGGAGTTTCTGCATTACATGGCGCAGCTCTGGCCAGGTTTGTGTTCATGTTCAAGCCTGGCAGTTACAATGTTGAAGTGCCAGTTGGCTACTACACGCAACTTGCTGAGCACTACGAATCGCATCGAATCGCGAGTGGGTGCATGAAAAGTAACCCACCATACAATTCGCGCAACGAGGGCAGTTGTCAGTTCTCAAGCACGCCCGTTTTTCAATTGCAGAATGAACTCTTTCCCTTGATGTCCGTTCCCTGCACTGAGGCAAGTTCTAGGTTTGGGGACGCTTCCAACGGAGGTGATTTTCACATCGAGCAAAGGGGTGTACTCCCAGGAGCTCTTGGGCAGCATGTTTGAGCCTGCGTGATGATGATGATGCACGACCATTGGACGGTTTGCACACAAGCCGAGCCTCCAAGGTCCAATTTTGCTGTAAATCCTGGTGCTTTGTGCACTTTCTGGCGTTCAGCAGAGAATTTCCAAACCGATGCCACCTACTCCTGGCCTCTTGGGCTGATGCCACGGGCAGAAGATCATCCCATCGCAAAAAAAATGTGCCAATTTTACATTCTTTATTGTTGTGAGCCAAGGAACACCAACGAGAACCAGGGAATGCTGTGGGCAGCTTCCCAAGCTGCAGCTCTCCGGAGGTGGCGTGAAGATTGGAAAGATGGGCCCAAGTTCACAAACCGTTTGAAGATGAGAAATGATCCGCAATTTGTTTTATACTGAGTTAATGTTTGGATTCATATTATGTATTGATATATTTAGTGCATGTATGGTTTTGGTTCAATAGATAGGGAGATGTGCATGACTTGCACAGACGAAACACCAGCCGTTGGACGAATCAACGCATCTGATGAAATATTCGGTGGCTTCGTGCAACATTCTTGCGGCCAATATCGTTCACAGTGCTCCACGTTCGCTGCTCGCGTGCTCAAGAGTTCACCAGGAAGGTCTGCTAGCTGCTGCTGAGGCTTGTGGTCTCCAACGACTTGGACCTCTACCAGTTTCGCAAGGGCGATGAGGTTGCGGGATTTTCGTCGGGTGGCTTTTTGGGCCACTTGGATTCATTGGAGGGGAGCTTAGGCTCCATGTGTTGGAAAGCGGCTCCACACGGAAACGATGTTTGCTGGAGTGGACATGTTTAAGTTTAGATTTCGACGGTCTATGCTTCTCCGTTCTTTCTCCGCGCTAGCAAACCCGCGTTAGCAAGGCAATTCAGTGATTAGAGGAAAAGTCTCCTCCGGATCTCAGCAGCAGTACCTCGCGCGGAACTCCCAGGCCAGGAAGAGTTAGCTAGCTCAGATGCAGTATAACATCATGATACATCATGCACATACTTGAATTTTTGTTTTGGACATGAACCGTTGAGATATTCAACAAACAGCAGGCAGCCATCTTCGGCATGCTGACATGCGCACCTACATGTGTATTAAACCTTGGTATTTATTGGTTTATTTATATGGTTTCTTTATGTAGTTTTAAACATATATATATATACGTAGACCAACAAATAACCCTAGCAGTTTTCACTTTCTTTGTGCTGCAGACATGCTTGGTATCGCGAGGGCTTCATGTCAAGTGAGCATCGTCTCAGATGAAGCGCCCAAGACAAGCGTTGCCCAATGCTTTCTTTTCATCCAGCTGTGCTTTAGTGACTTCCATGCACGGAGTATATCAGTGGAACAGTAGTCAAAGTGTGATCACAGCAAGGGCTGAGGTACTATGACCTGATACTGATGACACCCCGTCGCTCACACCAACGTGCACGCCAGGAGCACCAGGAGTCCAAATGCCCCTCCTGTCTTTAAAGCCCTCCTGTTTTTTGCTCAACACTGGCAGGTTGATTCTTGGAAAGATGGAGTCTGGAATGAGGTCTTTGTTGGCACCATCAATGCCCCTGCAAGCCATTGCGGTATGGACCAGGAATCTGGAGCAAAACCTTTTGTGACAGTGGATGCAGCGCCTCTGATGGCCGATGCTTGGTTGGTGATTTAAAGCGTCCTTTACACACACATACATATATACATATAGTTCATTTTGCCAAATCACATGACAGACACATGACACCTTTATAGATAAACTTAGACCCTCAAAAGATATGTTTATCCTTTCATTTTGCTGGAATGTGCGCAGAAGGCCTGCGGCAAGACACGACGCCAACATGCGCCACAGTTTTTTTGTTGCGTTGCACTTTCGGGCTTGGCTTGAAACCTGCCCTCACCAAACAACAAGAAGTCTTTTGTGGGGCCTAGCTATAGCTATGCTTTTTTGCTTGAAGGCCACATTGTTAAAAAAATCCAGAACTGTCCGTGGTTGATTGCAAACCATTCGCATATGATACATGCAAAAACCCTTGGCAAAACAAATGTGGCGTGTTTTCAACTCTATGTTCCTTTTTTGTGGCAGGCTACTTCCCCGACAGGCCTTCCCCCAGAAAGGCTCCTGACAAGGCTGCGCAAGGTTTTGCAGACACCTTTCTATCACAACCGTGAGGAGAAGCCATTCATCTCCATTGAGCCAACAGGTGCCTTATTTGCATTTCAGCAACCCGCACTTTTGCAGCATATCTCACATCGAGTGCCGCGTGTGCTCCTGTGCTCCGTGAAGTCTAGTCTGGATCTATATGGTAATTAACTGATACAAGCTTGCTTGAACTCACCCTGATTGTGTGATCATGGAGGCAAGTACAACCTCAACATCCCACGCGTGCAACAGAACTACCGGGGCTGGAACTATGATGCTGTAGACACGGTTGGCTTTGAGCAGGTCTGGTATCGACAGCCGAGTTTCCATTTGTTCACTGAGACTTTTGGCTGATGCCGGTAGATGTTCTTCAGACCTTGATGCTGTGGAGCGAAAGGAGCGACATACCCAAGGACCCAAGGCCCGAGGTACTTCACTGCAGAGGCCAATTGTCGCCGCAAATCAACAACGCACATCCCCCTGGATTGAAGATTGGTTTTTGCCCAAAAAGTGTGGTCTGGTCACTAGGAATTCTTGCAGTAGGGGTTATACAAGGCCGGGTGTTCGATTGGTGGTGCTTCCCGGCGTGCGCAGCCAATTCACTGCTATTTACGGCGTGTTCATGCTGCTCGAGATCTTCGAAGTGCGTTCCGACTGCGCAGGCTCGCATGCAGAAACTCTCTGGCTGGCGCGAGCGCTTGCCTCGACTGCGCCGCGCTCCGATTGTGGCGCCGTGCGCAGCCGTGCAGAATTTTTGGACTTGGTGGTCACTTTTCGTGGCAGGCGCAAAGGAAAACTTGCGTCTTGGTGAAGATTTCGTGGCAGGCGTAGGGTTTTTGTGAACCTGGAAGCGCCCAGTTCACGGCAGGCGCAGCACTTTGTGAGCCCATATGCTCTCACATGCGTTCTCGGATGTTCTCGCTTATGTCCGTTCACATGTTTGCACTCTCTTGTGTGTGCTCTCGGCGTGTGTTCTTGCATGTGAGCTCTTATCTCCTTCTCTTTCATGTGTGCCCTTGATATGTGTGCTCTCATATGTGTGTTCTCATGTGCCTCTCAATTGTGTACCCTCATATGTGTGCTTTCATGTGTGCTGTTGTGCAAGCGCTCTCATCATGTGTGTGTGTGCTCTCATATATGCGCCCTCATATGTGTGTTTTACATGTGTACTGTTGTGCAAGTGCTCTCACATATCATGTGTGGTCTCAAGTGTGTGTGTGTGCCCTCATATGTGTGTTTTACATGTGTGCGAGCAACGGGTATCAGGATGCATGCCGTTGTTGATGAGACGAATGGATGTCAGGAACGTAGCCACGCAAAACTGAAAGGTCTATCAGGTCTGTCCTCAGCTCTTTCTACTTCCTGTTGTGTTCGTTTTCACTGTTCGGGGCCTTGGCCGGATAGTGCGTTTTTTTGTTTTCTCAATCAATTGCCAGGTTTATGTCGCAGATGCAAGCAAAGACACCGCGCAGAGCATAAATGCAGCTTGGATGGCCAACAACCGACCATGATAGGCAGGCCCCGTCGTTTCATTGTTTTTGCACAATATTTTCCACTTCTACCGACGAACACTCAGATACTGTATGTATATGCTCTCAGGTTTGCGCAGCAGGTTTGTGAGACATGGTGAGTCAAAAGAAACCAATGTATTGACATGTGACATGTGTACATTTTGCCAGCATGAGGCGCCGGTGAGACAAACAATATATGTGTAGGCGTATCAAGAATAGAATGCATGCAGCAACCAAGGATTACGACCGTGACTCATCACTATGAGTCGACTTGGTTAGGGACATGGCATGTTCTTGGCCAATTGCTGGAACCAAGCTGAGGCAAAGCTGGCCACGGGTTTGCACGTGGTGCTTTCGCCCGGCATCTACGATCTCACGGAACCCATCCGCGTTTCATCCAACCAGGTGAGAGAACCTTTTGGACACTGCAGAGACTGAGGTACTGTAGGTAGTCGTTGAGTATATGATGGTAATTGCTGTAATCTCTCTATTTTTCTCCGGGCTTTGTGGGCAAGTTTCTAACATGAGTGTGCATTGTGCGTACTCATGTTTTTCCTCAGAATTTGTCAGCCTCACTGATCGGCCTTGCTTTGCCTCTCGCACAGGTGCTTTTGGGGTTGGGGCTTGCAACACTGCGAGCGAAGAGCGCCCAGAGCGCAGTCCAGGTGGAGGGTTGTGGTGCACGCTTGGCCGGGCTACTTGCCTCACGAGAGAGGAATCTGCAATCTGCAGTTATCCTGGATCTAGGGTTTAAAGAGAATGTCACAGGAAATTGCACGGCATAGAAAATCAGTGAATTTGTTCCACCTGCGAGCCATTGCTCCTGAGCACCTTTGGCATCAGGTTGCTTGTAGCAGCAGGGACTGCTGTAGCATCGCCTCTCGTCCATTGGGAGAAGTCCACAGGCGCAAAGCTGCTGATTGATGAGGATTGGATTTTGATTTTGGCAGTACATCTCAGCTCATTGCGGTAAAGTTGCGCTGTCGTGAGGGATTCCATGTATCACCTTGCGCCAAACCGCTGTATTTTTTGTTATGCCGGATTTTGATGGATTTCGCTGCTGTTGAAGTTTTTTGCGTTAAGATTCAGATGTTGAATGACGTTGAACACCATAAAGGCGCTGACTGCACGTCCACCAACCCTGGCGTGATGAGTGCCATGGTGTGGATAAGTGCAAGTCCAGGTAGGTTATTTTTGGAGTATTCTCCTTCCAAATCATGATTCTTATGATTGGCGTTTGGTCAAATTGCTGTTTTCTCACAGTTCTGTTGAAAATATCACCTTTCGAAAGGAACAAGTCCGGGACATGTTCAGTTCAGTCGCTGCGTCATTGTGCCGCGTGCGGTTCGTTGGATTCGAAACCACGGGTGGCTAGGACCGGGACTTGCACCGTGCCAAGGCGACATGTACATCCGTGTGGGGGGTCCTGTGGCGGAATCGTCTGTGCAAGCAGAAGCTCGAAGAACAAACAACTCGACGACAAGGGATGGTTGGTGAAGATTCCATTCTGATTCCACTAACTGTGGACAGGCTTTGTCATGCTTTGTCTATTTTGTATTATTTTGTGCCTTTGTTGTGATTCAGCCCGGAGGTTTGTTAAGGTTACTCCCTGGTACCCAAAGCAAGTTCATGAAATTCCTCTCCCAAAACTGCCTGACCCCACCAGCCCGTTCGAAGATGCAGCCAGTAAGGAAGTCATGCTCCAAGTAGATGCTGACAGTGTTGTAATCGACAACTCGTGGCTATGGAGAGCCGATCATGTCGAATCTGGTCAGCTCGTACAGTGGCAGAACCCTTGCCAGGTGCAGAGATCGAACATGCAGAGACATGAGACACATTGCCACGTAGAGTTTTTGCTATGTTGGTGCAACCTCACCGATAAGCATAATGAATGCGATAGGGAATTGACGGAGTGATGTGACGCGCTTCTGCGTAAAATGGATAGGAACATCATGGCATAAGCAGTCCAATACTTGCAATTGTTGAATCTTCCTTCGTCATTGAGACACGTAGGTTGGAGCTATCATCAATGGAAATGACGTCGTTGCCTATGGCTTCAAAGTCGAGCATTCTCTTACGGACCAGGCTCATAGTTTGTGTGACTTTCAACCAGGCTTGAGCACACAGTGACACAGCATCAGATGCCAATGCACTGTCACCAGAAGAGAGCTTACAAGGCTTACACTTTCCTGCAAGACCGCAATATGAACAAACGGGAGCACCAAAAGTTGATGGGGTGCGCACGCAACCTCAAGCTTGTGTGAGCAAAGATGGCCGCCCCGGCAGCACAGGTGCAGTGGAACGGCCAACGCGGCAAGGTATTCATGTTCCAAGCTGCCACTTGACTGCATTTTGATCACTGTGAGGGGACCCGAAAGAGATTGTGACAAAGGCCCCTGTCCAAGAGATTGCCTGGCCTCTTGTCAATGGACCCTTTGGATTTGCAGGACGCCACGAAGAACGAATGCAAGTCTTCTGCCGCAGGGTTTTGTTGCACTTCAAACGTTCCAGATTCTTGATTTGTTGTTTGTAGGCGGTTTGCTTGTGTTTGCGGGGAATTGAGATTTGTCGGCGGTGGTTGGGCCCCAACCCTGGACCAGAGATCTTTCCTTGACTAGCTTTGCTACAAGAAACTTGCAAGAGATGCGGGTAAGATATGCACAACATAACCGTATATTTCCCCAACAGCGGAAGCTTGGGGTCTCAGCCAAACTAGGCACTGGGGCACTGTGGGGCAGTCATCCGGTGAGGTTCCCTGAGGTTCCGAGGTTCCGAGTGAAGGTTCCGAGGTTCCAAGTAAAGGTTCCTAGTCAAGGTTCCGAAGGTTCCGAGGTTCCAAGCGAAGGTCCCGTGTCAAGTGTCCAAAGAGTTCCAAATAAAGGTTCCAAGTAAAGGTTCCGAGTGAAGGTTCCGAAGGTTCCAAGTGAGGGTT